TTTTTTTGTTTCCACAGATGAAGAGAAGTCTGAAAGGAAAGCGATTCCGTGATGTGGATGAAGTCAAAGAAAACACACTAAAGGCTTTGAACAGTATCCAGCCTCAAGAATTCCAGCACTGTTTTGAGCAGTGGCAAAAGCGTTGGGACAAGTGCATTAATGCACATGGACAATACTTTGAAGGGGACTAATATACAGTTCAATAAAAATGCAAAAATAAAAAATAACAAAAATAAATTCCGGTTATTTTTGGGTCCCCCCTCGTACGACAAAACATCACCCGTGTTGTAATTTTGTTCATGACGCAATTCTACATTGAACGAAGCAGCAGCAGATCGATTCGGTGATGGCATTCCCAACTGACTGAGAACTTTGCTCGCGATTTCTAAGCACAAATCTTCAATCATTATCAACACTTCGTTGCAGATTTCTGCTGTGAAATCCAGTTCATATTGGAATTTTCCTTCCGTATTCGACGGAAAATATCATCAGCCATGTGCTGCTTTGTTGATTCCGCGATTCCTACGCAACGACCCATTGTTATTGCATTGTCTCTGTGGGAACGCTCCGTGTATTCGTCGTAACCATGGAGATTCGATACAGTATCGCTATTGTTACTTCCTATGCAGCGGTCTGTTCTAGCGTTTCCATAGAGGTGACTTCTGAATTCCAAATTCCAATTCTGTTTTTCAAAAGAAGCATGTTTTTACCTGTCACATGTGTGACATGTATATAATAGGTATATAAAAACGCGTGCATTCAAATGCAACGTTGTGTCAAAATTTCGAAGCAATCAGTGAAGAACTTTCCGAGATTTTCGAGGGGTAACAAACAAACATTTACATTTTTATTTATATAGATTTTGAAGGGTTATTACTTGTCTGACAAGGGAATAATGTTTAATTACTTAGGCCAATTAATTTCAGTGTTTGTCTGATGATAAGTTCAACATATTAGACTGATATTCATCTTCAGAGAAATCATTTATAATGTATTTTGAAAGGTTATAACTTGTCTGACAAGGGAGTAATGTATTTAATTACTTAAGCCATTTAATTTCAGTGTTTGTCTGATAATAAGTTCAACATATTAGACCGAGCTACAGGTAGTGCTGTGGATTTGCGTTTGGGAGGTGCTCCATTCAAATGTCAGCCATGAAATAAGCTGTCATGGCTGAAATATCTTTAAGGTGTTCCTGAGTGCCTCCAACTAAATTTGAGGATAGTACCTTAATTATTCTTCTCCGAGTTGTCCAGACCAGCTCTGGGGTCCACCCAACTTCCTATTCAATGAGTACCAGGGGCTCTTTCCCCAGGGGTAAAGCAGCCAGGGTGTGAAACTGACCACCCACCTCCAGCTAGTGCTGATGTCAAGAAAATGTGAATCTATACATCCACTTCCCATACACCTTCATGATATAGTGCTTAAGCACAAGGATGGCTTTACATTTTTACCTTGATTATGCAGTGTTCGAAGATGGGTGAAACATTTTAAAGATGGGAACACCAGCATCGAAGATGAGCCTTGGAGCAGTCGTCCTCGAACAGCCTCAACTGAACGCAACAAGGAAAGAGTGGATGAGATCATTCAAGATGACAAGCGTGTGACTGTGGACACAATAGCCCGAAAACTTGGAATAGGGTACGGTGCAGTACAAGAGATGATTATTGACCGAAGACCACAGAGGTCAGCAAAAAGCCATCACCTCAGAACTGCTGCAGAGATTTCGACACAAAGACGATGATTTTTTGGTCTGTATTGTGACAGGTGACGAAAGCTGGTTTCACCATTTTGAGCCTGAAATGAAACGGCAGAGTATGGAATGGCACCATTTGCATTCTCCATCAAAAGAGAAGGCAAAGACAGTGCCATCAGCTGCGAAGGTGATGGGCACAGTCTTCTGGGATGCAGAGGGGCTTATTCTGGCCGAATTCCTGGAACCTGGACAAACCATCAATTCTGCTCGTTATGTCCAGACGCTGCACAAGCTCCGTCATGCATTGCGCGATAAACATCCGGGACGAAACATCATCATCCTGCATGACAATGCTCGCCTCACATTGGAAGCAATTGCAAAGATGGGGTGGGAAGTTCTTCCACACCCCTCCTATAGCCCTGATCAGTCTCCCTCCAACTACCATCTTTTCAGATTTGTGAAGGATCAGCTCCATGGACAACGTTTTGAGACAAGGGAGGCAGTTCAGAAAGCAGTGCGTCAGTGTTTTCAGATGGCTGGAATGGAATTTTACAGACGGGGAATTTTCAAACTCCCAGAACGCTGGGAGAAATGTGTACAAAGAAGTGGTGATTATGTGGAAAAATAAGAAAGGTCTGTAGATTGAGGTGGTTATTTGGTTTGTCAATAATAAAGCATGTTACTTACTTACTCATGGAGCTGAGCCCTTCTGGGGGAGCCACCAATTCTACAGCTACTCAAGAATTTGCCAGCATTTTATGGAACCCAAAGGTTCATCGCCGTGTTCACAAGAGGCCTCCACTCGTCCCTATCCTGAGCCAGATCTATCCAATCAATACCATCCCATCCTATCTCTCTAAGATAATGGAGGAGACGCCCTCCAGTTTTGGAGGGAAGCTGTGAATATATTGAATAAGCAGTCGTGGACAGCCAACAAGGGGTGGCCCTCCAGCTTGGGGGTTGGGTGAGGGGCTAACAACTTCTCACCGTAAAAAATCATTATGTTACGAAAATAAAGCATGTTACTTTACAGAAAATTCTTGCTCATGACTTTCAGTACGACCCTCGTTTATATTCATTAATAAATTTCATTACAAATAACTAAGAACTTTTTCAGAAGAATGCGGATGTACACAGTGTTAACACAAGACACAAACACTGTCTTCATAGACCAGTTGTTAACCTTTCATGCTTTAAGAAAAGTGCATATTATGCTGGGTTCAAAATTTTTAATAACGTGCCTTCTGATCTCAAAGATCTTATGAATGTAAAAGCACAATTTAAAATAGCACTGAAACAATACTTAAATACACACTCATTCTACTCTGTTGACGAATGCCTATTGTCTAGAAAATAACTTATGTATCTTTAAATAGCCTTGTGTGTAGCCACTGTGTATTCCTGGTTTCTTCTGTGTGAGAATTAGACATATTCCACATCCTACAGTCATTTTGACTAACTTTTGGATTCATGGAATGCAATGTAATGTAAAATACCGTTCTAAACAGTTCGGTTTTTTCGTTGTCTTTCATCTCCGAGGAAACGCATTTGTTACTTAACGCATTCCCAGGCAACGGTCCACTGTTACTGCGTTTTCTGCGGACGACAATATGTTACCTCTAGTCATTCATGGAATGCAATGTAATGAAAATACCGTTCTAAACAGTTCGGTTTTTTCGTTGTCTTTCATCTCCGAGGAAACGCATTTGTTACTTAACGCATTCCCAGGCAACGGTCCACTGTTACTGCGTTTTCTGCGGACGACAATATGTTACCTCTAGTCATTCAAAATCCGCAACAGGCGTAAAAGTTCGTCATTTATATAGTAGAATTCCCCTGAGTAGGGCGCTTTCAGGATTAGTTGTAGTTACATTCGGTTGTAAGCTCAACCTTCCCAGTGATCCGTGGTGTAGTTAAGGCAGACAAACGGTTGTGCGCATATTCCGTATACAATTTCATATCGTGACGTAACCGTCAGCAACGACGTATAGCGAGCGAAGACGTGTACGTGAAAATCACAAACTCACGCTGGTGAAAGCAGTTTTATGCAGTAACTTCTAGTGACGAAAGAAAGCTGAGAGGATTTGTGCAGCAAATTTTACCGCAAGAAAATGGCACCAACAGTAACGAGTTTCTTGAGATCGTTTAATTCCAAGCTGTAAGTACGATCCGAGTTCCTTGAAGTAGGTTGAATCCAATAATAAACAGGTAGCTCTTACAGAAATTGGAAGTATATGTTTATTTATTTATAGTATCTTGGTTATAATTCATAGGTTAACAAGTTAATGTAGAAAGTAGTGTCTACTCATCTGTATCTTTTGTAGGGAGGAGCCCGTAAGACGACATTTGAAGAATGTGTATGCTTGCTTGACAATGGCTGCAGTATCTGCTGGTGTGGGAGCATACGTTCATATCTACACCGAGTTGCTTTCCGCCGGCCTGCTAACGTTGCTTGGAACACTGGGATTTGGCATAGCCCTCTTAGCTACACCTGACAATGGCAAGAACACACAGCTACGAATGGGATACCTCTTGGGATTTTCCTTCTTTGCAGGTCCGTAATACCTTATATTGGTAATAATTAGCATGATACGTTTCATGTGTTGTTAGATTTTATCACATGTCTGTAGAAAATAATAACATCATTTCTATATTGATTTACGAAAGAATGTTAAATTTTAATGTATTGACATTTGGAATTGTATGTACGTGAAAGTACTACATTTGATATGGGTGTAGAACGTATGGTTCTATAGGCTTTTCTTAGGTATATCGTGGTTTCTTGAGCCATGTGGTTTTTAATTTACTAGCAATTTGTGAAGCCCCTTTGCTTTCTCTTGAAATGCTGAATAAAATTTGTTTTACATTTCAAAACCATATGCAATATGAGTAGTGCTTTTAGTCATGTCCTACTTTCTTCTGTAGTTCATCGAAGTGTATTGTATTAAATGCAGCGAGTGTACCAAACAGGTTGCTCTCAGCAGTGCTCAGGACTCATATTTGGAAGGTGCTTGGTTCAGATCTCAGTCAGAATACTAGATATCCAGACAGATTTTATTTTTTTTTTGTGTGCTTTTCCGCAGTCCCTTGAGTAGGCCACAACTGCTTCATCCAGATTCCTTCTAATTCATCAGTAATCCTACCCTCTGATGCTGTGTAGTCTAAGCATTATTAAATAACCCACTAAAAGAACAATCTGCTAGTGTTTCTCACATGAGCCTGGTGGCTCATTTGATATAACAGTATAAACTGGATAATTGGTGTTCAGTTCTAAGGATAGATTTTTCTCTTTGGTGCTGTGTCCAAATTGGCTCAGGGTTCGAGTGGGTATTGGTGACACTTTTCTTCAGAGTTGAAGCATTCACAGTGTGAAGTTAATCACTCACCTGTATCTAGTATGAAAGGGCATGGAAGATTGGAGCTACACATTAAGTCATCTGCATATTTCTCACAAGGTGCTTACTTAAGTAAGAACAGGCCATCTTTATCTTTTTAGTGTAGCTCACCCCTCGCAAATTTGAGTGCATGTTACATGTTCAAATGTTTAATATTTCTATTATTATTTGTCTCAAGACTGAAAAGGCAGCATGTTTATACTGGTTTACTATAATATTAGTGTTTGTTTATTTTCAGGTGTGGGAATGGGCCCACTTCTTGATGCAGTGATTGATGTTAATCCAAGTATTGTTGTGACGGCTTTGCTTGGTACCGCAGTGATCTTCGGCTCATTCAGTCTGTCAGCCATCTTCGCTGAAAGAGGAAGATGGTTGTATCTGGGTGGCACCCTAATGACTCTTTTGAGCAGTTTGCTGTTGCTGTCACTGGCAAACTTGTTCGTTGGGTCATATCTGATATTCCAGGTTCACTTGTATTTGGGTTTGCTGGTAATGTGCGGTTTCGTTCTGTATGACACCCAACTGATCATCGAGAAACGCAGGAATGGTGATAAAGATTTTGTTGCCCACTCATTGACCCTCTTCGTTGATTTCGTCAGCATTTTCAAACGTCTTATGATCATCCTCACTGAAAAGGTAAGTTTTATTGCTCACCGAGTCGATTTATTATTATTATTATTATTATTATTATTATTAGGTCCAGCCACAGATACAGTTTGATAAGTATCAGAAAAATGTACCTCCATATGCTATAAAAGGAACTTCACAATACATTCTTATTTCTTTCCTTCTGCCCTTCATTTTCTTTCTCATGCCTATCAGAAATTTGTTTTTTGTCCATAGTCAGTACGAGCAGCACAGTTCAATGATGTATTAAGCCTTTTGTAGCATTTGAAGAAGTAAAATTTTAGTCCTATTACAACATATACTAGATGCTATTTTTAAACCACCATTTAAAATTGATTTGTTGTGAAGTCAGAAATGAAAACCCAGTAAAATTCACATAACCACCTAGATGCCTAGAATTATCCTTCATTAATGTAATAGTATTTATGTTTTTTATGTACTTGAGGGAGATACCTGTATTAGTTTTTAAAAATCACTTGGTTTCTGAGCAAGAACAAGTTTGCTTTGAGGTTTATCATGGACTAGAAATGAAAGATAAGAGTAATGAGAAACACTGTTTTCTGTTAAAATAGTAACGCTGTAAGTAAATAACTTTGATAATGTGAATGTGAAATGCTGTCTTTGAGGATGGCTAAGAGCCTCTCTTCTCATGACTGGGTCTGTTGGTAATTGGCTGTTTAACCCTTTACCCATTAATTTAAAATACATGTGTTAGATTCAGATTGGTACATTTTTTCAGAGTATTTAAATTTTAAATAAGATTTTATTAGGGCAGGGTCCATTTCATGTTGAAATGCATGGTTTTGTTATAAGAAGCAGAGGGTTAGAAAAGTGAAGGTTTAATGGTTATATGGCATACATTTCTAGGATACAAGGCTAACAGAAAATTTATTCTATGAACTTTGAAAGTGTCAGGCAGGTCTCATTAATTTACATGATACTTTACAGTGCATCAGTAAATGATTACTTTGAACTGTGCTGTTCAGTTATCTGCTCTCATATAATAGTATTACAAACTTATCACTATAGTCTTCCTACATGTAATTGAGGTCAAAGGTCATTTTCACAGCTTTGTACACTGTCTTGTTCACTTGAAAGTATGAAACACAGGTAATAAAGGTAAAGTTGTCCCTGTGCTTAAATAATTAATTAAGCACTATGCCATGAAGGCTTATGGGGGACTGGATGTATAGATCCACATTTTCTTGACCTCAGCACTAGTATACTGTGGAGTCATCATTCACTTAACAACTTGTTATGGAGGCACCACACGTCTGCTGTTGGAACACTTTCTCTGCATCTCTGCCACTGATTCTTTTGCTCTTTATATTTTTGTTTTACTTTTCTCTTCTTTTCCTCCTGAAGTGATCGGTCAAGGTAAAGTTGTCTCTGAGATTAAGGACAGTTGGTTTTATATCTGCCTTTCATTGGCTGTTTATTTCTTATACAAAACCTTTGTATTGTTGGTTGTAGATAAGGCTGTTATTTTCAAGTTGACATATATATTCATTTAGTTTTGGTCGTGTACGTGTTAGCTGAACCCGAATAGTTCACCTGGTATAGTGACTAGGCTACAGCCTGGATGGCTGAGGATTTGGGGTTCAATGTCTTCGCGGGGCAAGAGATTTTTCTTTTCTCCATAACATCCAGATAAGCCCTGGGGCCCACCCAGCCTCCTATATAATAGGTATGAAGGGGTGTTTTCCCAGGAGTAAAGCAGCAGGGTTGTGAAACTGACCACTTAACTTTCATCTAGTTCTGAGGTGAAGCTATACCTCCATTCCCCATTATATCTTCATGCGTTGTGCCTAATTAATTAAGTCCAGAGTTAATTTTATGTTTCACCTATTTATGTGTTATCTGAGATGTTTCCATGTTGCACTGCTAGGCTCTATCTACTGATTTAACTTAAGTTGCAACTTGAAAGTTGTAATTTCAACCCCAGAGTATTATACTATGTTCAACATAGCTGAGAGGCAGCTCAAATTAATGCAAGTTAGTGTGACCATTGTCTATGGCTGTTAGCCATAGGTCAAGAGATTAGCAAATCTTATAGTTGGCTCTGTGGTGGATGTACCAGACTTAATGGTTACTTGTGGGATGTATGTCTGAGACATTATTTTTTAGAAGTGTCTGTTTTCAGGCGCTTTGTATAAATTTGTGTGATTTACTGTAAATTTGATGTGTGTTTTAAATATTTCATTCAGTCCAAAGATAGCTTCTCAGAATAGCACAAATATTTTCATCATCTCAAATCCTGTAAATACTTAAGGGCTTTCTTAATTTGAGGCATTCTGAACCATTCTGACAACCTGTAAACAAATTTTCCCTAGGGGTCGTGTTTGGTTTTATGGAAGTTTACAATTTCTGTTTCATCTAAGCTACTAAGTTGTAACATATATAAACCATCAGTAAAATATAGTGAGATTTTCAGTACAAGTGAAATAATCTAAATCAGAAAAAAAGATAGGACTGATTGCCACCATTAATAAGTAGAAATGTAATTCACTTTGTAAGATCATATGGTAAAGATATATGTAAAGATCATATGGTTGGGTTTCAGAGTTCCATACTATGTAGTAAAACTGACATTATGTATATTGTCATGTTGTATGTTCTTTACTCAGGTACATGAAATGAATGTACAGTGGAGAGGTTATGTCTCTGTGTTTCATCTCTAACCATACACAAAACATTTGATAAAGTTTATTTTTGGAAGTCTACATTGAAACATGGCAGTTTTAATTTTGGTTCATTTTGGTGTATTGTAACTCCTGTTTGTGTGAAACTCAGCTCAAAATTATATCAATTTTCTCGTAATGGGTTGCAGCAGGGGTTCTTAAACTTTGTGATGCCATGATCTAGAGCAATATATAAATCTACTTTACCACTAATGATTATAGCTGTTGATGTCATGAGGATCAGAGGGATAAATTTAGCACAATTACAGTTTTTGGTGTCTGAATGGGTTAATTACTAACCATGATTAAATAATTGTTAATAATTTTGTGACCTCCATAGAGTAGGTTGTGGGAACTCAGGGGGTTCATGACTCACCATTTGAGAAACCATGGGTAGTATAATTGGTTCTTATGATAGCATAAAGACATTATTATGGTACAGATCTTTTATCTAAAGTGCAAAATGATAACATTTTTTGATAAGAGTATATTGCAAAACAAACTAAGAATAGTTTGTGAGTTCTTGCACAGTGTAATAAACATCATAATAGTAGGTTTGTACCTGCAACAAATGAACGTTGAAGTTATAAAGTAAGAAAAATGAAAAGACATATCACATAAGTTTGTAGTGGTTCTATGCCCACATTTTGTGGAATAGAGAAAACAAAGATGCAAGTTTGAAAGTTTAATAGTGTAACGTATAACATACAAAACAAACTCCATTGCCTGTAGTCCACAAGCAAACTATATCGAACGAGCGACTTCTGCTTGTCGGCAAAGTTAGTGCCAACTTTCCCCCGGCCGTTAATCTCGGTTTTCTAGACCAGAGGCACAATTTCCTTAAAATAGCTCCTTTATTATCATGAGGCTGAGTGGATCCCATTCCAGGCCCACTGCTTCTCAGAAAATCTGGTAGCGCTGGGAATCGAACTAGGGTCTTCTGGATCAGTAGCCAGGAACTCTGACCACTATAACATACAACAAAAAGGAATTAAATTTTTATCATTTATGTTGTTGTGTTGTTCACTTTAATCATGGACATAAACCCTTGTACCTTAAAAAACTAAATGCAATTATGAACTAAACAGACAATACGTACTGCAAACGTTTCCACCCTGGTGTTGTGAGGAATATACTGTACTGTCTTCAGTGTAAAATGGTAGTATGCAACACATTTATCTCCAAAAATTCTATACTCTGTACTCTCTTTACTTGGTTCAAAGGAGTAAAGACTACTCCATTATTTATGCCTTTGTTTCGGTGGACAGAATATTTCACAATTTGTTTTGCTTCTGAGTAGGTTAAAGTAACATTAATGGGGGGGGAGGTTCAGATTTGAGAGTATCATAGCACAGAATATTAAAACCACTCACCACAGTTTTAATTGATCATGAAAGATTTCAAACTGTATACATATTAAAAATCATGGCATGTTTCTCTGTGTTGCTATAGATGAAATGTTATGTCACTGGTAGCTTTCCTTGTTATAGGATGCCTAACTGTGTGTGAAGTAAGCTGTTACCATATTACCAAAGACTTTTCAGACTTGATATAGGGAACTTCAGTTCATTGCACTTCTTAACCTATATCTTTCCCATAAGACCTTAATTACAGATGGAAAAGTTGCCTCCTAACAGCTGTTTCATTTGAGTTTATTTTCACCCAGCTCACACCCTAAAACAAATGCTGGTGATGTAATACTTTCTTTGTTTTGATGGATATTACGCATTACATTACTGTACATGTTTCCTGAACGCATTTTGAAACATGGTATTCAGAGGCTCAACAAGTTACCAGGAAAGTTCAGACTGAAATTCTTGAAAAAATACTATTATCCAGGATGTGACGCCATGTAGTCTGGTAGAAACTTACTGATGTTCCAGAGGAACAGACTGCCTCCATCTTCAGAACCCTGAAGATGAAGGCAGTACATGCCTCCAAAACATCATTAGCTTCTGCAGAACTACATAGAGTCACATCTCAGAAGATACTACAGTATTCTTTGTTGTCACTGGTGTGAGAACCTCAGGTTTGATGAACTTCATTGGTTGTCTCAAAAGTGGGTCATTCTACAAAAGACTGGTATGTCACAGAATATGGATTTTGTTGAAGAAAAAATAAATTGAATTTGTTGAGGGTTTGGTTGTCCAGCTACTGCAATGTGCATACAGCATTTTAAAATACCATAATCAGTTTGATACTCTTGTTGTTGTTCTTCTTCTTCTTCTTCTTCTTCATCATCATCATCATCATCATTATTTCTTTATTTAGCCCAGTTCATTTTTAACTTAACAAAAGCTTTGTGCTCCATAATGTTTGCATCATAGTTAGGAAGGTTTGATTGAATTTTATTGTATGGTTGTTAGCACTAATTTATATTTGAGAGGTTTGAATCTCATTGCTGACAGTTTTTAGTCTGCATATGCTGGGATGGAATCTTAAAATGTGTCACATCCTCATTCATCAAATTTGAAGCTGTATGTGCTCTGTGGGTGATAGAACTTAATGAATTAAAGGAGGGAAAGAAACAGCTATGTGTAGGAGACCATGAGGTTGTATATTGTTTAAAATTCTGTATATCATAGGTTAGAAGCACTATTTTTAATGTGTTTACCTTGTGATTCTGGCACTATTTGACTCTAAGAGAAATACTTTTTTTTATTGCTAGTGGGGTGGGACTAAGTCCCTTGTACTGCAGCCACTTCTGACCTATTGTACCGGCCCCAGATGATAGGTGAGGGTGATTGTGGAGCAATTGGTGGAATGAAGGTTGGCAGGGGAAACCGAAGTACTTGGAGAAACCTGCCCCAGCGCCACTTTGTCCACCCACTTTACCAGACCCGAGATCGAACCCGGGCCGCCACGGTGGGAAGCCAGTGACTAACCACTTGAGCTGTGGTGCAGCCTAAGAGAAATACAACTTACTGCTCTAAAATAGTGATTGAAAATTGATAGATAGATTATCTAGTGCTAATGAAAATTTTCCTTTTCTTCCAGATTGGAATTATGTAAGTACATTAGGCATGAGGTGATTCATTTCACTGAAAAGTAAACCCTTTATTTGTGACTGACTTCTTGTAGTTTTCATCATATTTTAAAATAATGTGCTGGTAACATTTGCTGTAAATGTATGGAAATTGTTTATTTATTTGTAGTTACATAAATTAATTTGCATTTCAGTTCCAGTCTTGAAAATCTGTATTATATAGTCGCTTTAACGATATATGTATATATATATATTTTCTTCTCTTACAGGAGCGACAGAAGTCTAAGCGCCGAGACTGATCTTCCTGCAGTTAAATTTACTGTTTCCAGAAAATTAAAATTACTACTAAGTTTCCTTGTATTCTGTAAACCACGATAAAAATTACATGTATGTAATGTGAATGTGAAACAAAATATGTGGGATATGTATAACTCTCATATTATACTACAATTAAGAGATTTCAGGCCAGTGTGTTTAATAATTAGTTTCTTTTTAGTTGGCCTTACCATTAGAGAAAACAATTAATGTGTTTTGGTGTGATGGGAGCTTTTGTATTATAATGTAGGATGGTAGTAAGCCATGATTCTTCATGGCATTTCATACAGTTTTGAAGTTTAATAATAGCAGAGTGGTTTGTTTTCCAGATATAAGACCACCTTAAAATTTCTTTTCTTGTTCAAAGTTTATCTAAAATGTATGTGAATTCTGAAATTTGAATAAAGAATAATCTTTTCAGTTACATTAATTTATTTCATAATATTTAACACTCCGTGTATACACATTTCCAGTTAGGTGGGTAATTGAGCAACTTATACTGATCACAGTGAACACGTTGTGCTCTACGCTCTGCACATATTCCTCTTGAACAACATTTAAATACATAGTCTTCATACGAAATTTCTTTTGGAATGGCAGAATAAATTGCCCATATTTTTTATTACAAGACCTATTACAGCATTCTGAGGAAATGGAATTTCCAGTATGTGTCAGTGGTCATCTCATTAAAGGGGTTTCATAGGTTTGGTATTTTGATGCACTGCTTTGTTCAGGGTTTTGTGAGACTACTGCTTAACAGTTTCATGTATTATTTTCTAATTTACCGGCTCCTCTTCTGTGCTCTGCTTCTTTTTCGTTCTGGAGGCAGTCGACCCCTCCACAGTGTCCAGTGTCTCACCTCTCTTAATCTACTGGAAATCCGGATGGTTCCCTTCATGCCCTCCTACTCGAGAGCTTGTCCAAGGGCCTCATGTAATGTCTCCATGCTCCTAGGAATGGGTTGTCGGGTCCTATGGTACAGGAATATGCTAAAAAAGTCACTGAAAAACTGGAGAAGATGGAATTCAAAGCGTCTAATGGATGGTTGGAGAGTTGTTAGCAGAAACTGTGACAAAGTGTTTCAAAAAAGCAGGATTTTCTATGGTAGAAGTTACTCCTAGTGTAGAAAATGAGAATGACCAGAAGGACTTGCAACATTGCATGAATGAAGCTGCTTTCAGTAACTGCAATGCTGAGGACTACATCAACATAGACAAAGATGTGCAAACAGAACCAGACACAATGGATATCGATGTATTACTTAAGAATTTTAGAGAAACTCGAAAAGGAAGAAGGGGGGAGGAGGAAGAGGAAGAAGAGGAAAATGACATTGTGATAGAAGAAGAAAAGTGTAGAGTGAAGACTTAGTAGGATGCTGCCAACAGTTTAAAGGTATTGCAGGAGTTTTCCCTGCAACGGAATGATTCAGACATGCTTACTCTAATTTCTCAAGCTAAAGTGTTTGTGGAAAGTTAGGCAGCCAAGAGAGTAAACTGCATGCAAAAAACTGCCGGAGTTCTGGTAAAATTATAAAAAGTGAGTACTGCATGTGTTCAACGATTATAGTGTGAATAAATTAATGAGCATGTTGTTTTGTTTTGTCTCAAATACGTTTATGTCCTGGTTTAGTTATTATGGTATACCTTGATTAAACAGAAATCTGGCTTCAGCAGAAATTTTTTCTGGTCCCTTGAGATTCCGTTTGAGACAGGTTTTACTGTATATATATAAACCATGGTATGGTTATGTAAGACACAAGCATTTTCTTATTCTTGAAACCAGAAATAGAAGTCATCCGCACCACACCCCATCATATAGCAAATATGAGGGAGTATCATTTATTTTTCAGTTTGTTTTAAGCATTGTTAACATGTGTAGGTCCTTCAGGAGTATACATAGTTGCCAAACATATTTGTGTGAGCCATTTGTCCTGTAATATTATGGTTTGACCCATGAATTACTTTTGTAAAGTTTTTCATAATTTATTCAGCTGAGCCACATCCCCTTTGTATTTTTACTGTTATCAACATATCCAGCAAGGCTTTTGTTTCTACATTCCATATCACTGTGGGGTCAGTACTTGCTCATTTGTTTGGTATATAAATCTTTAAAGGATATTTTGTACAGAATCCAAGTAGCTGTTCAGTTAATCATTGCTTATGTATAGCCAACTGTGTAACTGTCCCTGCATCCATCCAAAAATTTGTTTGGTGCAAAACTGTGCTCCCCCCACCCACTTTCTGTTTGATTATGTCAGCTGTCAAATCATAAACCACTCAGAAGCAGCTAAAATCTGTCCAAACTCATATGTTTTGTAATTTGTATACCTTAGTCAATACAGTGACCAAGGAACTGAGGTTCAATTCTTGACAAGGACGAAAGATGTTATGCTTCTTCACAGGGCCCACCCAGCTTCCTGTATAATGCGTACTGGTAGCCGTATCCCCAGTGGTGAAGCCAATTTGTGACCTCCATCTAGTGCAGAAGTTATGAGTGGCGGAGCTACACCTTTACTCCTTATGTTGTCATGGCATGGTGCTTATTCAGTTAAGCACAGGGATAAATTTACCTTTTCTTTTTACTTACTTACCTGGTTTCGAAAAAAGTGAAAGTTAGACTTATGAGATATGTGTCTGGGTATCGCCCCTCTTAACTTTTGAATGCCTGAACCAATATTTATGAAACTTGGTATGCGTATAATGGCACTTAGCCTATCTCAACGGCTTACTTCATAAAACCTAGCATCAGTCTGTGTGTGTATGTTTATCTCCCATCGTTGCTAGACAACGGCTACGTAAAAACATCTCCACGGCAACGAATACACACGCAACAACAGAGGAATTGTTGGACCCGTCATTTACTATGTGGCCCATGTATCAAGGAAAGTAGGCTATTAGTTCTTCCCAGAACTTCTTGTTCTACCGACACCATTACGTGATACGTTGTATATTTATTACCGTATATACCGGTATTAAGTGGTTTCAAGTTTTTAAAAGGGTGTCCCGTTTTTATTTAACTGTACGTATAAAGACATTGAAAAGGACATCCATTGGGCCTTAATATATACAGAATAATTTAAAACAAATATTAATTGAAACTGGTTTTACACTTTTGTCTCTGAAAGGAACGTTTCAGTACTCAATATAAGAACATAATGAGTAGTGCAGGAGAGTACATTCAACTACTCTCTGGGCGCATGCGCCATCGAGGCTACTCATTCACTTGATTGCCCTCGACCTCTGGACAGAAAATATGTTTGCACGAAAGCTGCTCTAGTCATTGGTATTTTGTACGTCTTTGATAATAACGGGTTTATGAACTTCGTATAGGATGATAGAAAAGGGATGGTACCATTGCAGCAGTCATCTGAACATTGGATTTTAACAGCCGAAGGAAAACCATCAGCTTACATGCTACAAGAATGGCGTTAGTTCATTGAGCTTAGGCGGTTGGACTTCGGTCCGATATATATCAGAGCTGCTTTCTTTTCTGCTACCGAAAGCCATTGAAAGGAATCCTTACCTTCCGAATTTCCAGACGAGCCTGAAGATTTTAAGGTTGAAATTTAGTTTGTTATATAAAATACTATATTTAACCCTTGCATATAATACATATTTAGTACCATGACCGGTAGACAACAGTGAACTTAGAGAACTCAATTTCACCTGTTACTTCACGACATGTTTCGGCAACATAGTGCCATCATCAGGTGCCCTAATTACGCTAATCTATTGCATTGCTTGCCTTTATATGTCTTTGTAAAATTATTTAAAAAGTGCATATTTGTCAACTGTAATAAATTTACACACACTAAAACTTGTTAAGATTATTCATCTTATGTGTCTTAATTAAAACTTAGCGGCCTCCGTAGTCTAGAGATAACGTTCCCACCTCATGACTCGTAGTACGCGGGTTCAAATACCCGGCGGAGGTCGTCGAATTTTTAAGGGCGGAAAAAATCAGGGAACAAGTCCTCCGGGAGGGTCTTTAAGCCATGGGTCCCGTTTCATAGCTTTACGGCACGTAAAACAACCTCATACCTCCAAAGGAGGTCACTGAGCAAAATTGCGGACGTTTGCCGCTCAGCAGCAGTCACTAATACCTCCGGTAGATGGGGGAAGCATTATAGATACTTCTCAGCCAGTAGAGCCGGTCTCGCTGGCTGGGCGGGACTGATGGTAAGCACCAATACCGGTAGGATATAGAGGCTGGTAGAAATCATAGAGGGAAGCACAATGAACCACTACAGGTCTAAGTGCATGGGGAAACCCACCCTCTCTAATAACTAACTAACTAACGGCAGTGAAACTTAAAGTTACTGTCTTTTGGGACATTATGCCATGTTGTCATTGTAAAAGCCCCAGCAGAGAACCGTAATCGTAAGATAAGGGGATTGACATAAAGATTTAGATACAAAGAGATTTTGTATTTTGCCCTATCCCGGGGAATCCCAGACTAGGTCTTATGGTGTGATATGATTCGCAGTGACAATATGAATCTGTGATCTGAATGTATAACATAGATATCCTTCCGCCTTATATTTTTGCCTTCATTTCTTTCCAAAAGACAGAAAATAGTCCACGGCGTGTTTCTGCCCCCTCTTTATCTTTTGAAGTAATTACTGATTTTGAAGAAATTTGGTATGAAGTTTATACCATTTTACCTTGTACTCCCTAATTTCCAAGGAACGATGATGATGATGATAATATGGCGGATGTACGAAATTTGCTAGCGACACTGATGTCCCGTAATATTGGGTTCCGATATTGGACAGTAGACCTTAGAAAAATATTAAACTTTTTAAAACGGTTATTTTTAAGTATGTAAAACACAAACTTAACAGTTCAATTAAATTTACATTTAGATTTTGGTTTGATTGCAGTAAATAAAAAACCTCTGAAGTAAGGCAAGTGATATGTCGTGTGGAGATACAGTATATAAAAGACATTCCTATATATTCTGCGTGAAATATTGCTTATAAGTTAACAGTTACAAATTTGGCTATATTTGGAAGTTTGAGGCTATATGTCCGACAGATGTAACCCTTTGGGCGCCATACACCGACTAAATTGGCTCGGGGTACTTGCACTAAAATTGCCACAGCAGAAGAGATCGGCTCGTTGTCAGTCAGTTTCTGCCAATAGATGGCAGCATATGTGACATACAGGTGCTTAGCGCCAAGGAAGCTTTCACCTTAAATATT